TATATAAAATCAAATAATGGTACGTTTGAGTGTGCATGTGTGTGGTGAACCAGCAGGGGGCAGAATACTAGTCCAGGGCAGGTTTTGGGTGAGTGCCCTAGTTGTCGTAGTGAGTAATGAGCAGCTCCGGACTGACGGGTGACTGACAGTGTCAGCTGGGCTGATATGCAGGTGTTACCTGTAGCTTTGTCTGTGCAGGTAGCGAAGGGTGAATGTCAGGGGAGATTCAGCCAAAGCCAGAAAGAAGGGCTCTGGTCAGATTTACACTTTCACTGCCTGGTCCTTGTTTGTGTTCGTCCTGTGTGTGGCGCTGTCGAGTAGCTGGAGCGAATCTGAACACAAAGCGAGGTTTTATGCCGTTATAGGTCAACCTTTCAGGTGCTAAGACAGGATGTCAGAAATTCTTGGCACATGATGATTGGCTGATGACCTTCAGCTGACCTCAGTCATGGAGAAACGGCCGCCTGGCGCGCTGACTGATACCTGAAGCCGCCTCTGCCTGCTGCCTTCGAATCGCTTAGCTGCTTCAGCACAGCGGCACAGATGCCCAGCTCACAGTGCGATAAGCCCAGCAGGCGAAATTAGCCAACGGCAATTAAACATCCAGACCAGAGGGAGGCGCTGCTGAATCTGGTGCCAGATGCACAAGCGGCCTGTCACTGCCTGCGATGTTGCTGACGCGCGGTGCGATTCGCTCGGGTTTCTCCGACCGGCAACACGCCAGTCACACCTACCGCTGGGCTCGTTTCCCCCAAGGCCTCGAGTGCCTAAAGCGCTGAAATGAGCTACGGCGATAACGAAACGCCAGAAATTCAAGATCTCCTGTGGTCGCCGTGGAAAGCAGATTGACCTTTTATCTGTTAAGGCTAAGAGGAGAGCTTTGGTTCAGTGCACTTTCACCTGCAGCAGATGCAGTGCGGCCCGGGTCACGGATGTGGTTCCCCAATTAAACGATCTCTCCCCACCGGCATCGCTCAAATGTCACCTAGCAACAACAACCGCTGAGATCCATCTGGCGCTGTGGTACTTGGCAACAGAATGACCCTTCAGTTACACAAATCAGTGCAATAATGTCAACAAAACAAATGTCAGCCCTACCCGTGTGTCACCGATACTCTTAGTGCAGATGTTCCCTTCCTGTACTGTAAGGTTGTAGTTCCCCAGGCGCTTTCACCAGAACAGGCAAGTTGGTTCCTTCGCACAAGGAGAGCCGTGGTTCTTGTTTTTATTCCGAAATATGAAGTAGCAAATTTATCTGTTTATCAATATCTGAATTTATCAAGGATCATTTTTTCATTTCTCATTATGCAAGTGAGTTACACAAGTGCAATGAAATTTAGTAACAGCCTCTACATTCATAACATACATTTGTAATGTAACAGTCAAACATAGTATAACAAAATAAATGTCATGTATGGTTATTGCGCTCAGTTATCTAAAAATAAGAGAGCATTGCACTGTTGATGCGAACTACTATAATAGTAGTGCAGTTTATCAGGAGAAGATATTTATGACATAAATGATTTCTCCTATATATTTTGCATGCTATATTTACCCAGGTTTGGTCATCTAAGATGGGATATAATGTGTGGGCCCCTTTAAGCATCATGGTGATGTGCATGCGTGTGACCTGCGGTTAGAGGTGAGGATGTGATGCATGGGCCCCTTTAAGCACCACGGTGATGTGCATGCGTGTGACCTGCGGTTAGAGGTACGGATGTGATGCATGGGCCCCTTTAAGCACCACGGTGATGTGCATGCGTGTGAAGGCTGGCGTGTCACAGCGTGTGTTGACATGCATTTCCATGTCCTGTGTTTGAAGGAGTTATGTTTTCTATTCTGGGTGTGCGTTTAGGGCTTGGGAATGCCTATTGAAGTGTCAGTTTGAATTCTGCCAGCTATCAATCTTCTGGCAGAGCCAGAAATATTCATTAAAGCACATTTACTGCTTGACGACATTTATTTATTAATTTATTTTGGTTTTTGCCTCAAAAACCCCAGTATCCACGGTAACAAGGAGAAAAGTAACGCGTTATTAGGAAAATAAAGTAGATTCATAAACAGAGAAAGATAGCAACAACATTGCCTTCGAGTACTGTAATAGAAACAATGATAATTTTCTGCCAGATTGAACTTCCTTATTCCAGGGGTCTCCAACTCCGGTCCTGGAGAGCTACTATCCAGTAGGTTTTCTGTCCCACTTGGCTTCTGAGCCACACCTGCTCCTGGTATTTACCTGAGAACAGCTGTGACTCATCAGAAGTCGGGTATGATGGAAAACCTACTGGACGGTAGCTCTCCAGGACCAGAGTTGGAGACCCCTGCCTTATTCTATATTATGTTCAAGGTCTCAGTTTTGATGTTACATCACTTAAGATGTGACCCAAACAGTCAGACATTTTGTATCGGTGATGAATTTGCACCTAGCAGTGAGCGCAAAGCATCAGAGCAGCTTGTTACTATTTTCGTGTGACCACCATTTGCCTGCTCTAATTGAAACAGTGGTTATTTTATTAATTAAATATGCTAATTAACCAGCATGTTACCCAGATCTACACTTCCCGTGCTTCTGAATTCTTTATCCCATTCTCTGTTTCCTGTAGTTTACTTGTCAGGAAAAAAAATCCCGCGATCTGTAGCCTGACCTTAGGTGACAAACTCGAGTTCTACAAACATCCAAACTAGGGATGGGTTCAGTTGGCTTTTGAAGTCTGTGTGAGTGTGTGTGTGTGTGTGTGTGTGTGTGTGTGTGTGAGTGTGTGTGAGTGTGTGTGCTTGAGCCCGTTTACATGATGAGCCCCCCCCAGCTCTAGCTGAGTCATCACCTGCATATTCTGCTTGTCACCATGCAGTGCTTTATTCTCTACGCCCCTTTGAACAGGCATATGTTTGTGCGCGCCCCACCAACAAAAAGTTTTATTTATCGCCGTTTCTATGACGTCTAACACCTTTCTCTCCCCCTCCCCCCTTCTGATCCTCTTTAAAATGTATTTTCTTTCACATGAAATTTATTTTTCAGTGAATAAAAGATGTTCGGAGTTCACACTGGGCTCTTCCCATTAATAACAGATGCTTTACGGAAATCCAAGTCAGCCTACCAGTCTGGATGTCTTTTGGCCTGCCACCGCTCTCCTTTCCTCTCCTTTGTTATAAATTCATCCTTCATTCAGTCAGTTAATTTATTTTTTATGCCAGTAATATCAACAATTATGATTTGTCTGCCAAAGTTTTCTATTTATTTACAGTCATGGAGAACACAGCCATCTGTAATCTTCCAGAGGGCTGTTTTTTTTTGTTTGTTTTTTTTTTGCTTAAGTCTCATAGTTTCCCACTGCTTGCTTTTAATAAACTATTTCCTGTGATTCTGGCTAAAACTACAAGCTCCTTGAAAACTGACCCTTCCCAACCTGTCGGATGCAAATAAGGCTTGGATTTCCTTGTGATAAGTGAGGCTGCCATCCTCTCGTGAGGGAAATGCTCAGCAGCCCGCATTCTCTACACATGCCGATTGTTACGCTTTTGACCTAATTTAACAAAATTTTGCTTTGAGAGATGTCAGCTCCAATTCCGAGAAATGTAAGTCACCTCACAGCAATCGCTTTCACTTCATGGTGGAAGACACCTCTGGTATTACACGTCGGAAATTGTTTCTGCAATTTCTCGTGTCATAGCGGGCGATCCCGGCCGAAATCATCTGCTCTGAAAGGCATCACCAGAAGAATACATTCTGCAAAAATTGTCGCTTCAATTATAACCTATGAAATTCCTGCATATCATCAATGCTAAGCTGATGAAATGGCTATTCAATGAGAAGCAGTAGCTTTAGCCACCAGCTGAACTGTGCCCTATTTATGCCATATCTGTGCCATTAATCTTCCGTGATTGGTTTGCTACCCGGGGGGAAATGACATCACAGTCCTGAGGACAAACACATAGGTGGCACAGCATGCTAAGCTAACTGTGAACTGTGGCCCTTGATGAAGCATACGTGTATGGCTGATGTCCTTCTAACCCCTCTCTCTCTCTCTCTCTCTCTCTCTCTCTCTCCTTCTCGATTTCCATCTGCCGTCCTTTTCCCTTCCGCAGTTTGTCTCTAGCCCGTCTGCGTGCCGCGCTGCACGGTGTTGCGGTTGTCACTCCTAGCGCAGCGCATTACTGCCAGAAGCAGCTATGATGGCTGTTCGTTGATTTGCTTGCCAGTGAAAAAAGGAAAAAAAAAAACTGCCCCTTTGGATGTGACCTCACAGATTACAGCTCAGCGTACTGCTTGAAATATTAAGACACTAAACATTTTGTTGGATAAAGAGCCTCTGGCCTTGCTAATTGCTGAAGGATTGCCTCCCTAACTTCCTATTAGCCCTCTCAGCAGTTTCACTGTCAGATCCAGTCTATTCTAATAACTATTTCTACGCTCCTGCACCTGTCTGGGTCTCTCCATGTTTTCTTCAATACACTGTTAGCCCCCCCGCCCCACCCAACCCTAACCCCCCCTCTATGTGAAAATTGATTTGCTAACTCTTGTGTCTTTTTACTAACATTCTCCAGAAGCCTCGATATTTTTTTCCTTTTCTGTACAATTTCCTTTCTCTTTTTTTATTTACTAAGAAAATATATATATATATATATCTTTATATCAACTAACACTGTCTCATTCACGGAATGTGAGCCATCATCTGTTGATTTCCAACTTAACTTGAGTACTAACAGAGAGCAGCATCGATTTTAGCATTTTTACACCCCTTGATTCGTATATATGTATATTTGCCAGTTCTTTCTTTATTTCTTTATTTGGATTGTTTGTATTATTTGGAACTTTAAAAAAAAACAACAACTGCCTTTTAATTTAATCATATGAAAGAAATGATTGGAATGACATTCTATTGCGTATTCACCAGCTAACTTGTTAATGGGACAAAAACAATAGATTTAATTATTTTCTCAGGTGTCCTTTATTGAGTTCAAGGTTTGTCCTTCTTTCCCCCCCTGTTTTCTCCCCCAAGCACGCAGGCATCGGACACGCTATGGTAAACAAACTGCATTATATGGTAGATATCATTCTAATTGTCTAGCTTGGTTTGCCCTGGACTTTACTTTCCTCTTTCCATTTTGTTTGCTTTTAACATGCAAAAAAACCCCCAAAAAAAGACAAAGTAAAACAAACCCCAACAACAAATACTTCAAATCAGTCAAAGAAGGTGGGGAAAATATTGTGATTAGTTCCCCTTCGGACCCCAGTGTAGCCTTTCCAGCCGGGACACCGACGTCCTTAAATATGAAACTCCTCCTCAAACAACAAATAGGACACACGTTACGAAAAATTAGCTTCGTAATCAAACTGTAGTAGAAACACTTAATTCTTCCCTATTTTATTTACTTTTGTTTGCCCCGTATTGTTCTCTCAAACTTAATATCCGGATGAAGAAATAAAGAATTACTTCAAAAAAGATTAAAGATCAGTTACCCAGTATCAACAATATATTTTTTCCCTGTTAATTTTTTCCCTGTTAATTTACCCCGTTAATTGATTTCTTTATTTAGTACTTATTTATTTGCTCTAGTATGTGCTGGAAGTGAACGCACACAGCGGACACGCTAACGAGCGACACGCTGCGACCGCAGCGACAGGCAGTAAGTGCGGTGCATCGCTACAGCGGCCCGCAGTCAATGCGGCTGTGGCGTGTGTTTGCCGTGTTCTCCAGGAAAAACGCAGCGAATGCCCGCGTCGTCGCGCCTTGACCACAGGCGCGTCTTTGCAGATTACATCCATGGCAGGCGTGTAGGTCACGTCACTCCGAATAAGCGACCAGCGAAGAGTGTGACTAGGCGAAAACAAACATCTGTCCTTCCATCTCAATACCAGCTAGCTAGTGTCTCAGGGAACAACGTTAATATTTACTGTAATAACAACTATGAACTAATTATAGCATGTCTATACTGTATATAACATACACCATTAGATTTTTATCTAAAGCCAGCCCAGACCGGTTCAGACCGGTTCAGACAGGCCATATGTGCAGGTTAACCTGGGCTGAAACTCGGGGCCCTGAATTCTAGGGGCCCACATTTTTTTCCCGAGATTTCTATCGCAGCATTTTTATGCTGTAGGTGGGGCCCTAAGAATGACTTCAGCCCAAGACCAAGAACGGCCTCGTCTCCCAGACAAGACGACCATCTGGTTGACTGATTGATCTGTTCAGGGAGGCCTCTAGATATTATGGGTTCAAGGAGCTCACATGGAAGAACCTTGCATATATCACATGACCCTAATTTGGAATTTAGATCCAGTATCAGGCACCGTGTCCTCGTGCTGATATCTCTGGCCCGGCTTCTGGGCCTCTCAGAGCATACACAGCTCTCTCAGCCTTGCATACTGCCCCTTAGTGCCTGTCGCTGGAAGTGCTTAGGCCCCGGGCACACTTGTGCGGGGGGAGGGGACGTGTCCGACTGTGTCCGATCAGCCGTCTCCATCAACACTAACACTACAGCTGTACCTCGAGTCTAACTCCTAATCCCTGCATGTTAAAGTCAACCTCTCTTTTCATGTACTACTCTTTTGGTATATATGTATATGCATATATATGTGCAACATATATACATACATATATAAAAACCTAATACTTTAACAAATTGTATGTTACTTCTTTTATTCCCCTGCGAAAATCTTATGCTCGGATGAGTAATTCGAAAAAAAAATAGCAACAACTAAGCGTGACAACAGCTGCACACCTCACTGTACTCTAACAAAGAGAAATCAGGATAAGGCAGACAGGGGAAAGGGCTTCATTGTCTCTGTGAGTGGAGGAGAGACGCCCGCAGCACATGGCTCAAGAAGCGAAAGGCACTGGAAGACAGGAGCGAGGGAGCGCACTGCAATCAAAGAGACGAGGGCTGCCGTGGGTTTAGTTTTTTTCTCGTTTTGTTTTCGTCAGATCTGTCAAGCTGACAGAGGACAGCACTGGAGTCGTGGGTGTCGGGTGGGTAGCTGGAAAGATCCCTTCAGGATCTCGGAGCCGCCGTCACGCTGCACTGGAGCGGCGGGTTCTGATGAGCGGGTGGGAATCACGGAGCCGGCGAGGCTGGGGAGTTTGTTACTGCGAGCGGGGAGTTAGACGGCGGGGAGCGAGCAGTCACATGAAGGCAGTGCCGCCTGAGTGCTGTTTTAACACTGCTTTACCCTCCTTCATTCACTGCAGATGATGGAGCCCGGTCTTCCTCAGCCCCACCCCCCAGGAAAATCTGAAAAGCGTTCCATCTTAGTCATTCCGTTTATCGTAGCTTTATTGCTTTGGTCCACATTAATTTCCTTTAACCGCTGTATTTGTCTATGCATCCCGTTGCATGGTTTTACGGGTAAAAAACAAAAAACACATTCCCTTTTGCTGCTTCCATTTCACACGTATAAGTGTGTGGGCACTTGCATTTGCCACGTGAGCATCACCTCATCCGTGTGTGTACGCGCACGCGTGCGTGTGTGTGGGTGTGCTCTTCTGTTTGCTATATTATCCAGCTCAGATGCTAACTTTTGCTTATCTATATTTTTATTCTTTCTTGCTTTTTCATTGGTTTGCAAATTAAGTCACATGGTGGTAATTTTATATTTCCATCCCTCATCTGTGTTTAACGGTTTTTCATTTGTATGGCTTGTTTTTTGTTGAACACTCGTCTCAGTTGAAAATCCATAATCATTTCCATGCATGGCTATACACTTCCTTAGCTTGAATGGATAGTTTTGTTTCTTTTGAAATGAATGAATTCAAAAACAATAAAAGTAAATATTTGATTTTGCAATCTGCAGATAAGTTTGGTCAGGGCTTGCAAATCAAATTACAAGGCATTGTGAGCTATATAAATATATATTAGTACAGTAAATACTAAACAAACTTGCTAAAAACTGTTACTAATACTATTGTCTAAATCAAACTTTTGTTGTAACTGTACTAACAACCATTTTTGTGTCTGACTCTCCCTTATTTACTAAAGTACTAACCGATTCAGTTCACCCTCCCAACCCAAGTTAACACAGTGACACACCACACTGACCCCTTTGTCCCTCTAACCCCCGTCATTTCCTGCAAACTCTGTCTCTGGTATAGCCAACCCCCCCCCCACCCCCCACCCCCGCCCCCTTCCTCTCACATCACTCTGTTACTGGATCAGCGACCAAATAGTATATAACTTCCCAGCTGGGCATGAGCTGATTGATCTTCAGATTCCTGGATCTCATCTATTGCCTGTTAGACATCATAGTTTGGTTACCGAACCAGCTGCCAGCCACCAAACGGGCGACTCCACCAGGATGCCACACCACTCCCCGATCCAGTCTTACTGGTGTGGGACCTTGCGAATCCTCCCAAAACCTCAAAACGTATCAGATGACCCGACACGATGTACAGGGCTAACGTTTCTTTCTCACTTTTCATGCTGTGGATTGCAAGCCCTTCAGATATGGTGCTAAGTGTTTTGCCCGATACTGTTCTATAAGACGTAGCTGGAGATCTGCTCCCAAACCTGTGTGGAAGCTCCAGTGGTAAGTGTACATTTGAGGAGAATGAGGTCCCTTTATTTATTTGCTTATATTTTCCCACCTTTCTCTGTATTGCATTTTTAGCAGTGTCTGTATTGAAATTCTCCCTCTAAAAGTCAAAACAACCCATCTGCAAGGAATTAGGACAGCTCAGGTGAGTGACAGACAGCAAAGGTAAGGCGGACCTGGATTTCAGCCCTGACGGAAGGTGCCCTATGGCTTTGTCATTGTCTGTACTGTGCTGATAAAACCTTTATCCATTTTTACATTTAACGTATTTCCATAAGACATACGGTACAGTCTTTACCATAGAGAGCAGGGTATTGGAAATTCAGTAGGTTTGTATTGTAGGTTTGGCTATGAATTTGTTTGACCAGATACAGAAGGTAACACTTATTTTGGTGTCTTGTTTGAGGCACTCGAACATTTTTCATTCATCGACGCAATTCAAAGTAGAGGGAAATTTAGAACGTTAAGTTTCATCAAAATCTTCTCATTTATAAGAATCATTGAAATCTGTGATGATATATGAATGCTGACATCAGCATTTTTACACTTCTGAAGATTCTGAATAAAAACGAAAAATAAATACAGCTCAAAACGAAAACCTTAATAGAATATTGTAAGTATTTTATTATTGAGGGGAAGACTATCGCTGATTGTAGATGGCAGGGATAAGCATGTGCTCTGAGTCGAGAAACTTCTGTTTGAAGTTTGTCTTTTTAGAGCAATAATCCTCAACTTCTGAGAAAATTTTGTGTAAAAAAAAAAATGGCGAATACACTGATAATTTAGCAAATCGAGTCATGTTTTTGTGGAAATGATCAACTTGAGAAATTGCTTTAGGATAGTATGTGGTGCTTTAACATTATGGGGGGGGAGTTAGGTCATTGCTGGTCAGGGACGTTAAGTGGAGCTGTCTAGCAGCCCAATGCCATTCTGGACGCACAAGGCCATTTCCGTGGAGAATTGATCAAGCTGGTCATGAGCGAGTGAAGGGCGGCTGTAACTCCGCTTCCTTTGAAAATGTGAAACAAATGAGTAACCGCGTCTGAAAGAAATATTGATTCTCCCTTCCTTCTCAGCCGGCTGCCTCATGTTTATTCACGCAACTGTTTACGTGACGGGAATGCTCTATCGGCGGCAGGATATGAAATTAGAATAGGCTGGCGTCAGATCCACCGGTGAGCGATTACCGTGAAGCCGGGGTGTGTGTCTGAGGTCTCCGCTGGCGCCGCGCTCCTGCCTGCGTACAGGTTTCGCTCACCCAGCTCTGTGCCTCTCGTTTCCTGCATTGTAAACTCGTTCTCTGAGGCTTAGCAATGATGCACGCAATGGGACCTTGTTTCTCTACGATTAAGATGCAGGAGAATGTGTGGGGTGTTTTTTTTTGTGTGCGTTTGTGTTATTTAGAGATGCCCGGGAAATGTACAATTCCTGCCGCGTCGTTCCTGTCCCAGCTGAGCTCTTAACTAATTAACCTTCTTGCTGTGATTGAGC